TGCTGCCTCTTCTCATACTTCTGTTCCTCCACCCCACCCTATTCAGGAGCAGGTATCATGCTAATGTGCTGCCGCTATTAATAGAATCCTGCCTCCGTCAACACCTGATTCACCTTAACTGGCTTCACTTGAGAGAAAAATGGACCCTGAGAGGTGTGTGTGTGTGTGTGTGTGTTGTGTGTGTGTGTGTGTGTTGGCATGATAAGCTATCCATCTTTTCTCTTCCTCCCTCCGCCTCCTTTCCTCTCAACTTGCCCTCCCTTTTCCTTCCTTTTTCTTCCCTCTCTCCTCTCTCTGCATTTTTCTGTTTCCCCCTTCAGTCACTCTTCTCTTATTTGTCTCTCCAGGCACCTCCCTCATTTCTCTATCCCTCTTTCTCTCTCTTATAGTAACCTATCCTTGACTTCCTCCTCTTCCACCCGTCCTCTATCTTCTTTTTTTCTCTCTGCCATCCATCCTTCCCTCCTGCAGTTAAAGGAAGTCAGCAGGGAGACACAGAGGGGAGAAGCACTGCCTGCTAAGCATTTGAGCACAACAGACGCACCAACATTTTGTGTGTGTGGGTGTGTAAAGGTGTGAATGTGTGCGTGTGTGTGTGTGTGTTTTCGCATTTGAGTTTAAAGTTTGTGTGCAACAAACTAGAAGGTTTAATGTGTGTGTGACAGGCTGTGGTGTACTAGTGACATTGAAATCAGAATGTGTGTTGTGTTGTGTGTGTGTGTGTGTGTGTGTGCGCGAGCGTTTTTATCATGCTGTCTCTTCTTATCTTATTCATGAACTCTAGCTGACTATCGCCTACCCATCTCTTCCTCTCTCCATTCTCTCCCCTCACACTTACACACACACACACACACACACACACACACACACACACATACTAACACACACCTGTACAAAGCTCTTAAGCAGGTGTTACTTTTTTGGCAGCTTCATCCATTAGAAATAATGGGTGTGTGCCCGAAAGGTTTTTAAAAACATGATTGGTGAACGTGGGCAGACACAGTGGTTGTGTGTGTGTGTGTGTGTGTGTGTGTGTGTGTGTGTGTGTGTGTGTCTGGTGTGTGTGTGTGTTGTTGTGTGTGTGTGTGTGTGTGTGTGGTGTGTGTGTGTGTGTGTGTGTGTGTGTCCCTGTTCTTGTCTGAAACGGTTCATGTCTACCTCTCTCTGCATCGGCCTAATTAATGTCATCTGTCTCACTTACACTGACTATGTTTTCCCCTGTTGTCTACTTTTGTCTCTTCCTTTTATTCAGCTCCTGCTCTCCTCTTTTCTTTTATCTGCCCCTTAACTCTGTTTTTCTGCCTTCCCTTACACGAGTATGAACTTAATGTAGATACACTGCATGAATAATGGATGTCACCGTTGTGATGTCCCCCATTGTTTCCTGTCAGTAAATATGAAGAAGGGGAGGTGTTGCTGGAGGGGAGTGAGAGGTTGGCAAACATCAAGTTATCAAAGATAGATAGTCAACACCTATTGCTGATTCATTAGCTGGTGAAAGAGCTAGTTTACCCACAGGTTGAGCTTCTTTATTAGGCAGCGGCTGGCCAGAGCTGTTTACTTCAAGTCCCCCAAAAAACGAGACTTTGAGAGTATCCTCTTGTGACATATTTTTTAGTAAATAAATGTATGATATAATCAATCACAAGATACAGCAGAGTGCTGAGTACCACTGAGTGAGTCACCCGACATTAAAAAATGTTTTACAGGAAGAGAAAATATGGTTATTATGATGCTTCAGTGCTTTATCAAAATAGTATTTGCAGATGAATGAACATTTAACACAGGAACGCTGGATTAAAACCCGGAAAATGTATTTTTTATTTAATTTACTACTAACCAAATACTTTAAAAAAACTTAATAACCTACATGGCCTACACGTTAACTTCAGTGAATGAAGTGGCTCTGCCGGATCCACACATCCCACTCTGACATCGCTCCACTAATGCATGTCCACAGATCCGGTTTGTTCATGTGTGTATTTCAGGACTACGTGTGTGAGGAGCATGTCTCTAAATAACTGAGTGTAAAACCAGAATTTCCCTCAAAGATTAAAAAAATATGTCAAATTGAAAAAAAAAACCTCAAGGTTACCACACCCCATAAATGTTAATTTAATGAATTACACAAAGTTACACCAAAAAAATCATCCTGTCATAAATAGAAAAATCAGCTATAGAGAGTGAAACAGTTTTTTGTACCAGTCTGTGAACGTGTTTATTTCTGCTGTCAAATTGAGCATTTTGTCAGGGGAATTACTTGATTTTTTTTTGGGCTTTTGGAGGCAGCCTCAGCTGGACACTTGAGGAACTGCAGTTTGTTTCACTCCTGGATTGGCATCATTTTTCAACATTGGAGGTTGTTATACTGTAACTTTTAAAAAAGCAAAACGTGAAAAAAATTAAAATATTTCAAACAAATTGTGAAACCTTGGGGGAAAATGTTGCACTTTTATTTTTCGAAACCCTGCTGCCTTTTAACAGTCAAAAGTTTCCCTCACTGCAAATATTTTCTGTGGTAACAAATGTAAACAAAAACACGACTGGTAGGCATGTTTTAAATTCCCTCATCTGACACAGACCAGGTGGCAATAGATTGAGACTTAAAACAAATACAAATCTATATTGAAATAATTCATCTAATTTCTTATGGTTTTGTTTGCTTTTGTAGGTTCAACCTGTTTTATTGGTTTGGAAGCAGGTGATATCCAACTACCACATAATAAATATACTTGCATTAAGCACAGATTGTTTTGGTATCAGTAAAAGAAGACGTATCCAGCCCTATAGTACTGTTATATCTAACTGTGCTCTGTGTTTTCTATGCATGTATAAAGTGAAAGGAGAAAGTACAGTTCACGCCATCAGTAAAAAAAAATAAAAAAGTTTGGCTGAAAGCATCATGACGTTTTCTCTACCTCTACCTTCTCTCGCCCGTCACAGTGTGGTTCCAGTACAGCACCTCCACAGGCGGACCCCTCCACCTCCTCCTCCTCCTCCTCCTCTACCTCCACTGCTACAACCACAAAGGCGGAGCAGAAGAAGCTTTTATCTAAAGACTCCATCCTGTCTCTGTACGCCAGCAGCTCAGTGGGCAGTCAGCCGCAGAGCCAGCAACAGCCTGCTCCTGGACAAGGTATCACACACACACACACACACACACACACACACACACACACACACACTAATGTTACCCCTTTGTCCCCCATATTGAGTCAGTTACGCTTGGTTGTCTCGTCCAGCAGCAGTTTGCAGGTAACATCTTACCTATTTAACCGTTTGCCTGATGGCTCATCAGTGATCCTTGAAGTTCCTGAAGGGCAAACTAAAAGTACAGTTATTATGAGCTGTGAGAAGGGTTGTAATGTTTGTCCCCTATTATCGACCCATTTCAAAGTATTTCATCTCAAATCTCACTCATAATCTAGCTGAACCCCCCCTGTGCATTTGAACGTACCTCCGCTGCTTTCTCTCTGTTTTTCTCGTCGGAGCTTTTGGTCAAAAATATGAAAATTTTAAATACTATTGATCATTAAAATAAAGGAGATTCAATCATTGCAAAGCGTCGCATCAAAAAGTATGAGGTTATTAAAAAATGTTTGATGACCTTAGTTACTGAGGGATCGGCTGATTCGTTTGTATAATGTTATTTATTGTCGATTGGGTACATTTTCTTCAAATGTAACGATCCTGGACATTGCACTGTATTTAAAACACAGATGGATAAACAAAGTTTATTTCATTGAAGAATTATATTGTCATATTCCTGCAATCATGCTCAATGTCCAGTCATGACCCCTTAGTTTAACCTTTTGAGCCCTTTGCAGGTCCTGGTTTTTGGGATTCATCCAATTTTTTTTTGTATTTTGATGTAGAAATAGACCTTGTGTATTGTTCCAGGTAAATGAATGTTAGTTTTTTAGATGTCGGTCCACAGCAGCACAAGTTATCTTAACCTGTGGTGAGGCACTTTAAATCACAACAGGCAAAGTTGTATCGTACCGTGCTTAAGCACGATTGCCCCCCCTCCCCATTACCCCGCTGGCCTGCACTCACACTGCTCCAGGACTAACCAGGCCTGAGCACGGTTACCTCTTGTACATAAGGTCATAATACAACACATGCATGGCTTTATGTGATCATGAAGCATGCTGAGTTTACAAGACAGGCTGACTTGAAAAAAATATATACAAATAAAATAAATGGTAATGGTAAATGGACTTGAGCTTATATAGCGCTTTTCTAGTCTTCCAACCACTCAAAGTGCTTTTACACAGCAGGTCACACCCACCATTCACACACTGATGGTAGAGGTTGTTATGTAATATCATCCATCAGAAGTAACTAATCCAATTCAAACGACTCTACCAACTGAGCCACAGCCACAGCTGAGTCTGCACCCGCACATCGGAGAACAACACATGACCGCTACTTTACTGACTTTGTGGCTTATTATGAGTCATTTTAGTCAGATACAGACAGAACACTCCAGGTTTTCTCCATAATGAAGGCTGTCAACATTGTGTACCTGTGCTCGTGCTCCTGCATGAACTGTACCCTGCCGATGCACATCTCTTCTGAGCGTGCAAGGGCCAAGGAAGTGGACCGTGCCTGAGCACTGATCAGAGAACTCACACTGATCAAGCAAACTGGACTTTTGGGGTGAAGCGTGCTTAGGCACAGTAAGGATGGCCAGTGTGAGTGCACCCTGAATGTGCTGTATTTCTAGAATGAAATGAAACAGTACATACATGTCGAGTCTTCTAAGCAGGGAAACATACAGTAACATAAGCACACTCAGATGCATGTTAGTACACAAACACACACACACACACACACACACACACACACACACACACACCACACACTTTCACACATACATCAGAGAGTGGATGCATCATACAAATGGAGGAGATAGGAGGCAGATGAAAGGTCAGCGTGCTGAAAAGCAGGCAGGTCCACTCCACGCTGCGGTGACTGGAGTCCCACTGCCGCAGTAAAAATAGAGAAGTGTCTGCACATTCACACTCACCTCACACGCTTACAGTAAGTGCAAACACTGTTTATTTGTGTGTGTTTGCATGTAGGCGGCCATTCTCACACACATATACATCAACCTGAGCATGTTTGGAGTGTGTGGGAAAGTATTAGTGTGTTTTCTGAATGGAGGAGGATAATGAGCTGAAGATTTGTGCAGCAGGCACATGTGCATATTGATTATCCTGCTGCATGATTACGCTGATATATACAGGATCAGCAGTGGAAATCCGGATGAAGGGCTTTACTTCTGCTGCCTTTTTGTCCTCTCTGAATCCAAATAAATGCTGATGGAGATCAAAGCCAGGAGGAACCGAGCCAGGCTAATGCCCCAAATCACTCACTTCCTGTGTGTGAGAGGGAGTGAGTGTGTTTGTGTGTGTACAGGGTGCCTCTCCATTTGGTAACAGGAATGAGATGGGTCTACATGCAGATCATAATATAAGAATAAACTCAAGTTTCATCCTCTTTGATTCCAAATTGAACCTTTACCTGTAGAGGGGTTGAAAGCTTTGAAACAGCAGGAATAGAGCTAAAACAAAACGTTACATTTCAATATAAATATGAAGTCTAACTTTAGACATGCAGCACATCACAGCCCACAGAGGATCATTTGTCCATTTGTAGAAGTGATCTTCTTGCGGCCCCTTGAGGTCTTCCCACCCAGAAAAAAAAAACATCTCATGTTTTATTTAGCTGCTTATCATATTCCCACAGCGGTCTCCCACAGTGCTGATTCAACTGTTAGTTGATTCCTTTTTGATGGAAATATGAAATTCTTCAGCTTCAGTTTTATTTATAGAGGGGGTAATGAAAAGTGTTCCTGCTACTTATCTATTGTTTTGTGTTTTCATTTATAACATGAGTACTTCTGTTATTTGTTGACTGACTTCAGAGCTACAGGACATTTCTGTCCCGGTGTGTTTTTATTTCCTGTTTTAATTGCATTTGAAGAACACTCTGAAATGTTCTGTGTGCATTGAGGAGCATGGGAAAGTAAACCTGGAGACTTGATTTGTTAACATCCTGTGATCCCCCAAATTGACCTCCAACATGATTGAGAGACCCTACAGTGGGAAGTACACCTTAAGCACACTGTGTAAATAAGTTTATCAGCTGTTGAAGAAATGCAGATGTGTAGTTGCCAACGGGGTAGTTCTCTGATGAGGATTTTAACACACGCATCAAAACAATTTTGTAGGTTTTTCATGCCCTAAATGTCTTTTTTTCTTTTCTGTGGGTGAGTTTTTTTTAAGGGTTCCTTTAAGTCTCTGAAAACCTGGACAAGTCACCCCCTTGAGAAGTGATCATGACGTTCTGTACAGCCTCAGTTATAAAAACTGTGTGCGTGTGCGTCTGCGTGTGTGTGTGTGTGTGTGTTTCCTCTCCAGCAGGGATGTACATGGGCCAGCCTCAGATGCCATTCACTCCGCAGGGTTTCGCTCAAGGGATGGCCGGGGCCGTCCCACCCACCACCATGATGGGTGGAGGAGGCATGATGCCCAACGGAGGCTACATGAACATGCAGCAGCAGCAGCAGCAGGGTGCCATGCCAGCTAACCAAGGACAGAATATGTACGGTGTGCAGCAAGGGCAGCAGCAAGGACAGTGGAACATGAGCCAGGTGATACTCAAATATAAAAAGGTCTTCTACATCCCAGGGGGGTGCTGCTTCATTCATTTCATGGTGTAAATGAATTAATTTAACATTCAGCTGATTTTTTTTTTTCTGATCCTGCTTCTCAGTAAATTAACCTTTTTAAACACGTTGACTGTATTTCTGGGAACATCTATAAAAAAGGTCATAAATGTGGGATGATTTTTCTCCATAGCGGATGTGAGAGAGCTCTATTATGGTGGTGCTGAAAGACTCACACAATGTTCTGCTCCCTGATTTAAGGCAGAGCTTTGTGCATTAATGACCCTCCCCTGTTCATTCTCTCTAAAAGCCCAGGAAGAGCTGCTTTTATCAACTCTCTAATTTTCTTCTTTTTTTTACAACCAAGGTTACTCTGTAATGATATGAAGGGTTTTCTTTTACTCTTAAGTTAGTCATCTCACAGATATTGGTAATCTTCTTTTTAATGTCTGGTTACAACAGTGTATTAAACTAGACCACTGACATCCTGAAATACCCCTTAACAATCAGGATAGTTCTGTATCTCCTTTATCACCAGGTGAACCTCTCCTTGTTCTCCTCTTTCTGTCAGGAGTGGATGGAACCAGTGTTTCCTTTCTCCTTTTTTTTCAAGGAGGGAAAGAACCACAAAATCATCTTCACTGCTTGATCACTCAAATGAACATGAATGATCGCATTGGACTCGGTGTGCAGGGTTTCTGTACACATCAGAAAAAAACAGACTCAGTTTGAAAACTTTTTTTTACATGGATCCAACACATTCGGCCCAATTTTTTTTACGTTTATTTAATGTTCCTATCTAATCATTTAAATGAGTCATTAAAGCTCAAATATATAAATATGACCCAGGTTCTATAATACAGATGTTTCCCTGTAAGTATAGATATGAAGTGGTCTAAGGTATCAGAAGAGGTCGGCATGGTGACCACAAAATAAATATCTCCTGTTTCAGTGAGAGACGTGATCGCTACACTACACATGATTTACTTCAACATGTCAATACTGGGGGGCCGGTCAACACATCCGTCAAAGAGCGTGTGTGTGTGTGTGTGTGTGTGTGTGTGTGTGTGTGTGTGTGTGTGTGTGTGTGTGTGTGTGTGTGTGTGTGTGTGTGTGTGTGTGTGTGTGTGTGTGTGTGTGTGTGTGTGTGTGTGTGTGTGTGTGTGTGTGTGTGTGTGTGTGTGTGTGTGTGTGTGTGTGTGTGTGTGTGTGTGTGTGTGTGTGTGTGTGTGTGTGTGTGTCGGTTTGTGATTGTGTGGTCGCACTCAAAACTGTCGTCAGCATCTTGAAGACTGGGGAGGTTAATGAGAGATCATAAATCAGCACTGACACACACATTGCTGCCTTTGAACATTTAAAGTGGGAGGTGGATGATGAGGTGTGCGTGCGTGCGTGTGTGTGCGTGTGTGTGTGTGTGTGTGTGCGTGCGTGCGTGCGTGCGTGCGCGTGCATATTGTGCAAAAGGATGCAATGATGAGTTGAAGAATGAGTGCATGGTTGCATGCATGTCAAGGCTTGGCCAACACACACACACACTCAGCCCCAGCTCTCAGATGACCAGATAAGTGAGTAGCACTGCACCAAAGCACATTCATAATAGATAAGACGGATGGAAGAGAAGGGGGGGCAGAGCAGGTGGATAAAGGAGGATAAAGGAGGTGAAGAGTAGAGGTGGAGGTAAAAAGGAAAAGAAATGGCGGTGGGGGAGTCTGACTAAAGGTTGGAGAGCACCTCCCTCTGCCCTCCTCTTCTGGGATGTCTATTTTTGCTCTGACTGACCCCCCTTCCTCCTTCTTCTCCCCCTCAGATGACCCAGCAGATGTCAGGCATGGCCGTGAGCGGCGGAGTTCCTGTGCCGCCCACTTTCAGCCAGTCAGGGGCCCCCGCGGTGGGTTGGCCCGCAGCTGCACCGGCGGCGTCCGGCCAGACCCTCAGCACTCAGCTGTGGAAGTAACGGGCGGGGCGTCCAGAGGATGAGTAGGGGCAGAACACGGTCATATGAAAAAAAAACAAAATGACTGAAATGTTCTCCTCCTTCTCCTCATAGCTCAGAATAATAAAAAAATAAAAAAAACACACAAGCTGGGGTAATTTAACTGCCCTTTAAGCCCCCTCCACAATCGCGACACACCTTCACCGTGGTTCCTTTAAAAGATGACATCACACTGGATAGAGTGGAGAAAAAAGGACAGACTGGCAGCTGTTGTTTCTCGTCTTTATTCCTTCTTGATTTCCTTTTAGTGTTGTTGTCTGAAGAAAGAGACAAAATCAGCAGATCGACAGAAAAGAACGCCGCGGGAGTTATAGCTCTAAGTGTCTGCTCTAGTTATATTATATCATTACCAAAATGGATAGTTAGTGAATAGTCTTGCAATACCTACAGTAGATATGGCTATCTTGTGATTGGTCTATGCTACCCTCTTCTCTCCCCCATCTCTCTGCTGTGTATAGTGTAACCCCCCCCCTGCAGGACGAGCAGAGCCTCATAGCAGATAGTCGTCCGAGCAGTACTGTATTTATGTGAATAAGATGTGAACCTTCCACTTTTTTCAGAGCCATAGAACAGTGAGGCTGCTTCAATTCTCGCTGACTTTGTTTTTGTGTTCTCTTCATCATGTGACACACGCACACAGTGGAGTCAGGGTTCTCCTGTTTACTTTAAAGCTGACATTGACTCAGAGCTGCTAAGGCCGGGCTCGGACTACAAAAAGACCTAAAATGAGTGCTGCATAATGCATTTAAAGAGAAACTGCTCAGACCATCTCAAGCATGCATTTACGCTAGAGGACAATAAGATGTGTGCAAAAGGAAGCAGGGTTACCAACTGGCGTGATTGTACATGATCATGTGATCTCACAAGAGAGCAGACTGGCTGCAGTGAGAGAAAACCTAAAGCAGAGAGCTCAGTAGTCCTGGATTGGAGAATTGCAGAGACGAGGTAAACAGGTGTTGTCTATCCTCAAGCAGGAGCTGGAGTAGAGATAACACCTGTTCATTTTCTGTCACCAGTTGTACCAGAAGCCGTTGTTACCATCGGAGACCAGATTTTCTCAAATTTCTGTTTCACAAATTTGGTTTTACAGTAACGTTTAGTTTTCAATAACATCGCACAAGCACACGGCTATCAGGACAGCCTTACAATGTCTCATGCGGAGAAATGTATCAGTGTCCATTATCCTAACATAGTGGACACAATGATGCATTCTATTTAGAAAGAAGTGTTTGGAGGAGGACATGAAGTGTGACTAGTCAATTGAGGGGAAAAAATAAGGGGAGATGTAAAAAGTGAATAATGAATATAAAATTAGATAAATAAAGATGTTTCTCTAAGAAAGGGGTTCCAAATTGAGAAACTTGTTTTGCGACACTGTTTCATCTCCTCCTCCTCTTCTGTCGTTATTTATTTCATTTTTTTTAACTGTACTGCCATTATCGTACCAGATGCCAGATGTTACATTGTGCATATCGAGCCTGTGTGAAATGACCAGGATGGCCTTTCTTAGTTTGAAAGATAAATCCCTCAGATTATCTGGGCCAAACATTGGTGCCCAGCACTCCTGTAGACTGAGCCTGGCCTTATGTAGTTGATGTTAACGTATACCCTGATTCACTGAGTTACATAATTCAACCATTTCACTAAAATGATTTAAATGTGTTTCGATCATTAGGTCGACGAGTGTCTCATTAAATACACTCACACACACACCAATGGATAAAAACAGGATATAAGAATATAATGGAACAGTTCTTGATTTACATTTTTGTTTAATTCTAAATATTTGCATTGTGTTTTGTACAATACCTGATCATCTTACCTCCCAGAACATCTGCTCCACTAAAACATCTGCTTGAGGAGACTCCCGGACACAAACTGTGACAAATATGAAGTCTTTAGAAGAAATCAAGGACAAAATATCTGGTTTCTCTTTTGTTTTATCTCCTCTGTAAAAGACTGGAGAAACAAAAAGAAGGTTTTTCTGGATCTTTTCCAGAAACTTCTATGAAGTTACTTTTCTAATCTGTGAAAACAGATGGAAAACAGTCACTTCAAAGACAAATGAAAACCACTTTGAAAACAAGAATTCCCTGCCTTGATTCCCTGCAGGTAGACATTACTTTGCTTATTAGGGTCAAATTCCAATAAACAACTGAACCACTGAAGTATATGCACTAACACTTGCTGTGACTTTAATGTCACTTTAGTAGTTCAGTATCAGTTCTTTGAATATATGGGTCCAGCCCTGTTTCTAATCCTGCCAGCTGCTGCTTATAAACATCCCTAAACTCAAATGTCAAGAATTCCCTTTAAGTCTCAGTAATTTGCTGGGCGGCCCCGGGTTCCCCTGGGTGTCTTTGGGAGCTGTGCTGTGCTGTTTTGATGTCTTTTAAAACCAAACGAGCTGGCTTCACTGGAAACTGTGCTCCGACCCAGTTAAGATGTTCCCTGTTTTTCAAATGAGCCGTTTCTCCAGCGCTCCCCGAGGCAAATTAAAGCTCGACTAGAATCACAGCGGTTTGTCTTTTCTGCACTTTAAATAGCAGAGCAGGTTGTGTATCTCTGGTTCGGTTGTGGTGGTTGAAGAAGAACAGCAGAAATATGCAAACTGTTCCTTCCCGCTGCAGGGCCGAAAAATCTACAATCTTTTTATTTAAATTTTTTTAAATACTGGACCAATGTGACACCCACGATGTTGCTCCCTTCATGTATGACCCTGACGCCGTGTGTTCTGCCATCCACCATGTTTATTGTGCTGTTTTGTTGTGTGCAGTACAAGAGAAGCACAGTTAGTCTGAAGCAAATAAACCTGGATGACCGGGCTGAGCGGGACCTGTATGAAAATTGTGGATGGGTCCACTCCTCGTTTATGTATGTGGAGTCTGAACAGAGGAGCAGGAGAATGTAATGAACATACCTTCACATGCTCTCATCATAAACAGCAGCTTCGTCAGTGGCCCTCAGCTTCAGGAAATGAAGACCGTAGGTACCACTCTAGTGTCAGTTTGGAAGTTAACAATATTCAATAAACAGCATCTAGTTAGACGTTTACAAGGAACCAGGTTGGACAGTAAAGCTTTCAAAGTATTACTCGTTGAGAGAAATTACACTTTTTATTTTTTTAAATAACGCTGTCTGGTTTAAGTAGGCTTCCCCCCCGCCCTTACCCTTTTGTTTCTTTGCATTGTCTATGTTGTCAGGCAACTTAAACAGCTGTACCAGAACAACATGACGTAACATAACCTATGACTTTAAAGAGAATTTAACTGTTGTTTTTTTTGAACATTTGTATTGGCTATTTGACACAGTTGAAACCAGTTACTTACATTTAAAAGTTTATTACTCGGGCACTCCAGAGTCCGCCAGCTCATTGGAAGTCCCGTCTGATATGTTGTGCCCAGAAGGATGCATCATATTGATTCTTCGTTGGCCGAAAAAAGGATAACACAATTGTCGGCCGTTTTTTGAGAAGCCAATCAAAATGAGACAACCTTCGACACCTAGCTGTGATGTAACGCGTCCACAAATGCGCCCTCTGAAGATGGCATCCCTTGATTTGGGACACATGTTGAATGTTGGATAGGACGAGTCAAACAGCTGAACCCAGATAAAAACACACTGTCATGTAAGCCAATCATTTCAAATTGTAGTGTTCTTTAGAATCAATTCAGATTTTGAAATACCGCCTTGATACTCTGATGGAAACCTTCACATTCTTCATACTACTTCATCAGACTTCAACAGCACATCCTAACAATAAGAGGACAGGCTTCAGACATGACGCTTAACGGAAAGCTACAGCGTCTTATTTAGAATGATTTGGCCACTGGCTGAGCTGCTGAGTTTGATAAGTTTTGAAGTGGGAACAAACACACACAGTGTAAGGATCACACTGCCGAGTGCTAGAGCAGAGATTCATGTCCATGTACACAGGTTCCCTCTGCCATGCAATAACTGAAGCACTCTCTCTCTCACACACAGACACACAGTTAGTGTAGCGACACAAAATCACATTCAATAACTCTAAAGTCCTCCAGGTTTATTTCCGATGTGTTTACATTTTCTGGTGCCTAGTACAAGGAAAAAAAAAGTGGTTTCCGTGCATTAAAATAAATATCCAGGTCTGTGTTCATGTTTGTCTAATGACTCTTTAACTGTAAAAGTGCTGTTTGAACTTTGATTAGTTTGCTTCTGTTTTTCTGTTCCAAGTTTTACAAGAGGGTCATTAGAAATAAAGGTTGTTGAATCCTGGATTTCATTCTGTTTTTTTTTTTTTATTTCTCTTTGTTTACATCACACACACACCACACAGTCCCCTCTGAACTTCAGGACAGAAGAAGAAAACAGCTGAGCGTCCTGTCCTGTTGTGCGGTTTACATCCAGTCTGCTCAGTTCATTCCTTTTTATTCCTCTGCTGGCAGGTGTGTTTGCTTGTGTGGTCTTTGTTGTCCGCCCACAGACTCTACATTATTGATGGCAGCTTGTCAGCAGAGATGTCACTTGTTATTTCACATCCTTAGTTTGCAGACCACTTGCAAAATCTGGTCACATACAGGCGGAATGAGAGGATGACAAAGGTAGTTCCAGTTCATTACATACGATCAGTACGCGGTGACGTAATGGATGCATCAATAAATCATTACCACATTAACTCCCAGACACTGAAGTGATTAATCTGAACAGAGAAGAGCAGATCTCTTGTTGGCTTGTGCAGGTCTGATCCAAAGTGAAGACATGGTGAAGAGGGTGCAAATCCTCCAGGACAAACAGACCTGGTTGACAGGCAGCAAACAGCAGATATCTTACAATTCAATTAGCTCATTTCAATTTATATATATATAGAGAGAGAGAGAGGGAGAGGGTATTTGTAGGGTATAGTTCGAAACCAAAGATTTTGGAACACTTGCACAAAACTCCTGCAGTCACATGTCAAAGTGCCCGTGTGCAAAACACTGAACCCTGAATCCCTCCAGCTGCTATGTGAACAGTACTGTAGGACAGTTTGAACAGCCTCTATCATCAGTGTGTGAATGTTGTATGTAGTCAAAACAGTTCTTTGAGTAGCCAGAAGAACAAGACCAAGAACATTTACCATTTATCATATTTTTATGTGTTTTGGATGTTATAAAATGGTTTGTTTGAATCATAGACTGTAAATGTTAATGGTTGAAGCCTGAGTGACCTCACTCATCTGTTAGTGCAGGGGGCGCTGGAGTCACATCGATGGCGGTCGGTCGCCATGCTGGAAATGCTGTCTCACCCTAACTTTCAGTCAACCAAACGAGTGACTGAGGAGGAACTGCAGGATATTGCACTTCTGCATCGGCTTCATTTTTCAACACCGGAGGCTGCTGCTTGGTTTGAATGTATGTTCCCATAATAACAGAATAAAAAAACACACTGACAGTGGAAGGCAAATTTAAATGACTGTTTGTCTCTGGAGTTTGCCGTCTTTCACAGAGTGATATAAAGGCATTTTTTTGTTTGATTTTACTATTTTAGCGCAAAGGTCTTTCTCTCGAGGGAGGTTAAAGGTTTTCACACACTTAGAATAACAATCTGAGCCTTTTAACGGCAAAAGCAAAAACTTTGATCAGGTTCATTTGCTGCAAAGGATGTTGCAGCCACTACAGCTGTTTTTTTGCAGCTGCTGGCTGAAGAGATCTACTGGAGCAACTCCAAGACTTGTACCAATCAGTCCATTAGAACAAAAGGTGTGTGATAAACAGGGCCCAGAAGAGTAGAGGAAATACTTTGAAATGCAAGATGTGAAAACATTACAACACTCTCAGATATCTGATCCATGAGACTTCTTTGTACGACGATTATTCCTGTTTCACATTTAATTAGATTGAAGATGAAGTTAATGACATGGCAACTTTTCAATCCAGCAACATGATGTTTCATACATGTATGCTTCTGTTTTTTCTTTTTCTTTTTTACATCAGCAGGCTGTTGAGGGAGGAAATGAGCCGTCCCAGTTGTCCCAGTTTGTAAAAGCATCGTATTCATGCTAGTCCAGTTCTCATAGAGCAGGTTCTGACAGGCCACCAGAAGTCTTGAATCATGCAGCTCCTCAGAGTCTGTGTCCGTCATGAACAGATTGTATAACCCCGATAAGGGGAGACAGCAGGGGGCTGTCGTCAGTCTCAGCCAAGAGATGATGGCTCGCAACAATCAGCGTCTGGTTTTGGATCCTCTGCCTGGCACTTCAGGCTCTCACACCTCGATGACCACGGTGTCTTTCCGATGTTTGGGCTCATTTGCGAGGTGCGGCTTCTCTGTGCGAGTGTGCCAAACCAGCACCTGAAAAAGAGGAGAGAGAGAAGAGGGATGAGAAAATGTGCTGACGGTGGAAACACTGGCCTCTAAATAAAGAATGAACAGGCTGTATGCTTGGATAAATACAGCACAGACGCAGGTGGATGGCTCCGCTTCACTGATACTGTGCAACACCAAAAAGACTGAAACTGATATTTTATAGAGTACGTCAGCTGAGACCTGATATGCTGATTTTATCTGACTCTATATTGAATTTCTTTTTAGAAAACAATGAAAAGTGCTTTAAAATCTTAATTATGGTTAATAATGTGTTTTCCTCATTATAAGAACATGACACTCTGTCAGATAGATACCTCAACAGCTGCTGTCAAGTCAAATTTCAATGTGCTTTAAAAGGCAAAACGTGATAGTTCTGTTTAGCATATCATATGCTGTACCTTCACAAACTGAGTGAACAAGAGACAATAACTTCCTCAGCTTCAGAATTAACATTTTGTGATGAATTGCCATTATACAATTAAAGATTGATAGACAAGCAACAATGTTATTAGACATTTTAAATGAAGCTAAGAGTTAGCAACACATATCTGGAGACGAAAACAAAGGCAACCAATACAAAATATTTCCTAATTTCTATAAATTGTAAACAGTGGGGGGCACTGATGGCCTAGCGGGATAGGTTGCACCGCATGTACAGAGGATAGTCCTTCAAGCGGGTGGCCTGGGGTCAAGTCCCATCTGTGGCTTCTTTCCTCCTTTCTTTCTTTCTCTCTCTCTCTCCTGACTCTCCACTCTATCAACTGTCCTCTCTAATAAAGTCATACAAGCCTGCAATAATCTAATTATTATTTTCCTCATTCATTATTTAATTAAAAGGCGCAGTATGTAACTGATACGTTGCTTTTAAAACTGGTCCTGCCAACCTTTCTGTGTTCTGACCTCTCTCCATTTTTCAAAAGCATCTCCAATATTGATCCTAGTGTGACCAAGTTTCTGCCCATGGAGTTTATTTTTTAGGTCGGGTACAATCACTTCTATCTGAACCAGTTCGCTTGCATCGCTGTAACACCTATTGGATTGCCAACTTCCTGGCAAACCCAGGGGCGTCCAAAACGGCCGTGGAGGGGGTGTCTTAAGACTGCCTATCTTCTCTGGTCCAAACAAATCCAGACGTACTGGCTGCTGCATTGTTGTCAGAGAAGCCAGCACTTCAACATAGCATGTCCTTAATGTCTGATCAGAGACTAAGGTTAATTCAGTAGAGATCTTATATTGGTTTTAGAGACTGACATCCTTAAAAAAGTTATCTGTTGTCTGAAGCTCTTGTGAAGTTGTTTTTCCCTTGTTGAAAAGACTCTTTGAGGTAAAGAATCTTTCCTTGATGTTGTTCTGATGAAATATCCGTCAAAAGAAAGACACTGCTGTGTTCTTAGAAACAGAGATTGCATTGTCTCCTGCTGTCGATTTTGACGCTCAGCAGTCAGCCAGGAGGGATCGTCACTCAGAAGCAGTCTGACACCTCTCGAAATGGATCAAATCAACAGCAGAACACACCTCACTACAGCTGTTTGTGTCTGTGTTTGCAGCCAATTTCACAGCAATATGTCGGTGAGAAAACACTGCCACTGTGCAAAGATTGATATTCTCCTGGAGAGAGCCATGCATTTAATCCCCCGGAGGTTCAGGTGAGGTACTTGGATTAAGCGTGTGTATTTCTTATTTTCTTGGCCAATAGCTAACGAGTTTATAATTCATGTGTGTGTGACATTTCTGTGTCCAAAGCAACGCACACAAGCTCACAGAGGCATGATTTATGTCTGCCCGTGAACACTGCCGGTGTTTCTGGGCTTCTTCAGGTGGAACATGTCACTTTCAGCACACTGGGCTGCTAATTGGCCCACTTTGCATATCTAACGAGGCTAATGTAGCCGCCGCCAAAGCATCAGCCCAGAGCTGTGGGGAAATCATTGCTAAATGTGTGTGAGTCTGTGCACCTGTGTGTGTCTGTGTGTGTGTGTGTGTGTGTGTGTGTGTGTGTGTACCAATTACACAGTCAGAGTGCTCTCCTGGACTCACACACCTCTCTCTCTCTTTCCCCGCCCGCTCTCCATTTTCCTCATTCATCACGCCCACTTTCTCTCTCGTGGCTCTGCTCCTGCTTTTTTTTTTTTTTTTTTTTAACCTCTCAGTCCTCTCTCCTGCCCCATCTTTTTACTCCTCCCTGAGGCAACGTGGAGACAAAAAGCTTTACCAGGTTAGAGCTTTTCTCCCTTAATAGCATAAAGGGAGGACAGGCCTGTTTCTCTCCATCTAGAGGAGGAAATGTGGAGGAGCAGGGGGGGGGGGGGGTCGGCTACAAAAGTCCGCAATTTCCTTCCAAATAACATCCATCTTCAAACACATGCACTTGAAGTTCAGTGCACCCCAGGTCTTACTTTTGAAGCTTTGTCACCATTCATATCTGTTATGAAAACCTAAAACTAACGTTATTTAATGACGTAGAGCATTCATAACTTTATAATCAGAATGAATTAAATAAATAATAGGGCATTGAAATATCCACTTCTTTTAAGAATAACAACTCTCTTACACTGAAAATCTGTTTTTCTTTATTTTCTTTGTTAAAGAGCCATCATTGATTGAGCCTATGACCTTCCAATGAAAGCTTGCATTATTTGTGATTTCTTTGGTGTTTTAAAATCAGTGTGAGAAAAATCCCAAGCAGAGAGCACTGCCACACATCCTCATTGTCAGCCTTTCATTTAGCTACTGTCTCAATAATAATGACATTAAGTGCAACCCACCATCTATTTATCAATTCAATAAAAAAGTTATTTGTCACGGGGGGGCAATTCAGAGGCACAGGGAGCATAGCATGAAGACAAAAATATGGAGTGAAGACTGAAGAAAATAAATCTAATAAGACATTAACAAAGATAAAGTAGACTAAAGATATTAGTGGACAGTGATC